AGAAAGCATCATTTGAATGAATGTGTTCTTCTAATAGGTTCCTTTTCACAAGATCTCCTTTTAGGCCTTTCTTTAGAATACAAATTACCAAGTATCTTTTGGGAATGATCTTCTTCTAAGAATATCCCTTTTGGAAGTGACCTTTCATTTGGTTGGTCCTGAAAAGTGAAGAGATATGAGGTTTCAAACGAAGGGGTACTTACCTTTTGAATATCATAACCCTTGGTGAAGAGTTGTGACTTTGAATCCCAACCATCACCATTTTTCGTAGTAGTCCCTCCATTTTCCAGCAATGAACCATCATGTTTCTTCATGAAGAAGTTTGGTTTCATGTTTCGTCCATCGTCATTTTTCATTGGTAGTTTGTCTTTTCGCCAGGCTTGAACACTTTTTCGCATACGCAATTGATCTTGTTGAACTTTTTTGGGCATCAAAGGCACCAAAATTACCTTGCGTCCTTAATGCTTAAAGGTTGGTTGTGATAACAATCATGAATGGCCCTTTTGTCATACTGCCATAGCCTACCAAGTAGAATGTGGCTAGTATGCATAGGGACAATGTCACAAAGTACCTCATCCTTGTACCTACCAACTGAAAAAGGAATTAGAACATGTTTAGTAACGTTTAATTTATCTTATTCATTAAGCCATTGGAGTTTATATAGAGTGAGATGTTTTGATGTTGTCAAACCAAGTTTTTCAACCATAAGAGTGTTAGTTACGTTTGTGCAATTCCCTCCATCAATAATCATTGTGCAAACTTTGTCATTGACATGACATCTTGTATGAAAAATGTTGTTTCTTTGTAGATCCTCTTTAGATGATTGTGATTGGAGGCATCTTTTTAAAACAAGCATTTCTCCATGATCTGCATTCTTTTTTGGTTCTTCTTCATGTATTGCTTCAGGTTCCTCATCATAGATAGGTTCTTCGGAATCTAAGACAACATCTTCATTGTCAAGTAATATCATAACATTTCGGTTGGAATATTGGCGGGCAACATGTCTTTTTCCAAAACACTTAAAACATTTGATGTCTCTGGACCTCTTAAAAGTGTTGGTTTGCTTTTCTTTACCCTTGTCGGATTCACCCACTTGTATAGTTTTGGTTACCTCAACATGATCCTTTGCTTGGACTGGAGTGGGCTTTCGGAAAGTATTAGGCTATTGTTTCCATTTAATGGCCGAATTTGGACTACTTCGGTTGAAGATTTTTCTTTTAATTTGTCGTTCGATTTTCATGGCCATATGTACTATCTTCTCAATCTCTACGTAATGTTGTAGTTCAACAAGGTTAGCAATTTCAGGATTTAAGCCAGATAAAAACCTTGCCATGGTTGATTCCCTGTCTTCATCAACATTGGCTCGAATCATGGCTATCTTCATCTCCTTAAAATAATCTTCAACACTCATATTTCCTTATTTAAGATTTTGAAGCTTATGATAAAGATCTCAATGATAGTGAGTAGGCACAAACCTTTTCCTCATAATAGCCTTCATTTCTTCCCAAGTATTGATTGGGCGTTCACCATTTCATCTTCTTGAACTTACTAATTGATCCCACCAAACTAGGGCGTAGTCCACAAATTCCATAGCAGCAAGCCTTACTTTCTTTTGCTCCGTGTAGTTTTGACATTAAAAAATATGCTCGATCTTAATTACCCAGTCAAGATAGGCTTCAGGATCAGTTCGTCCTTGAAATGGAGGAATGGTTACCTTGATGTTGCTGAAGTTATCATTTTGATTTATATAGACATCTCTTCTTGCTTCTGGGGTTACTTCAGCCTCCTCCTCAAATTCTTCTTCCATTCTAGGGCGAATTATCCTTCAGTTGCCTAAAGATGCTTCAAATTGATCCATTCGATCATGCAAAGGCTCCAACTCTAGTTTCAACAATCTTGTCATTTCATGCATAATTGCTTGAGTTTGCAAGTTAGGGGCTTCTCTTTTAAGGGTTCGTCTTGGACTCCGAGACATGATTAGTGAAATAAGAAGAAAAAAATGTATAAAAGACCTTACCAGATAATACTCTCACAAAGCCTCACAAGTTCTCTCCAATTTAATTTGAATGTCACTCAATTCGCTCGTGTTTGCACTCTAGGACTTCAAGGCTTTTACTAGTCCTCTTCTAATCTCACACGCTCAAGCCTTTTTCCTCTCAATCTCTAAGTAACTTTACTCAAAACTATACCAAGCAAAGTTTTACTTGTGCGTCGGCTGCAAAAGGATTAGTAGGAATGAAAAGCAAAATATAATGAAAGTGTGGCTTATAAATAGAAAGAAGAGAATGAAGGGGTTACTTACACAAAGTCACTTCACAACCCTCTATCACCACAATCAATTTTAAAGGCTTACTTGAATGGCTTGGTGATGAGACTTGTTGACGAGTGCTTCAACTTTTCTTTTCTTTTTTTCTTCTTTTGAGTGCTTGCAATTTTCTTCTTTTGAGTGCTTCAGTTTTTTTGCTGATTTTTTATTTCTTTCACTTGCACTTCTTTTTGTATTTTTTTTTGTTGTTGCACGTTGCTTCTTCCATCAAAGCTCTGAATACCGCTTGATGTAAGATATTTCTACCTTGTTGATTGATTGTGGATCTAATAAGGAAACAAAACAACCTGCATAAGTGAATGACTCAAATAGATAGTTTGATAGTAGATGTAAAGGTTAAATGGTAGGCTTTTTTTATGATAAGAGAAATGGTAGCGGAAGTATGTTGTTATGGCTATGGTTAATGAAACAAAGGAAGATGGTGAAGATAGTATCTTAGAAATGACCAAGGAAGAACCAGTGCTATAAAGAGCAAAGACCCAACCTTACAAATCTTTCCTAAAGGGTGCTAGAAGGACTTGGACCCACTATCTATATAGAGATAGGAACCACAAGTATCAAGGGGAAAAAGGGGTTGACGCCACAAGTAAATAAATTACTTGATAAGTCGATAAAAGTCACAAGGACTTAAGCAAAGAGAATAATCTCACTTTAATTGATAAGAAAGGTGTCTACAAATGAAATAGGACTAGCCTATTTATAGTTTTTAAAGGAACTTGGTCGAAGGGGTACATGATGCTTCGGCCAGTCTTTGTTTCTTTTTATAATGACATAATTTAATTAATAAATATCATGAAAAATCAGGTGTTGGTTCGGTTGGAATGGAGAGGCATGTCTCATGGCCGAATAGCACTTGAAGCTCTTCAAGTTGGCGCCAAATTGGAGGAGGAATGATGCTTGGTCGAATGGATAGTTAACCATTCATCTTGGCGCCTAAATAGAGTCACACGCATAGCACATGGCCTGATTGGTCACAAGGCGTTCACATGGCTCTCTATGATGCTTGTGGTGCAATCTTATGCATAGGAATGAGAACCAAGCATGGGCAACAGTCTTGGGCGTGAGTTGAGCTACCTTCAAGCTTGCATGTGCTTAGCTAGCTAACAATGTAAGGGTTGGTGATGGATAAACTCCTTGGCCGTAACCTCCCAAGCTTCATAGCATCACATTCAGCTATATTCAGCTACAATTGATGTCACCTTTAGCAACCTATCTTCAAATAGTCCAACTAGCTGAGATTAGCTAACGTTGAGCTCCTCCAGTTGAGTTGAGATTTCCTTAGTGTTCCACGAGCTGCCATGATGTTTGTGAGCTGATTGTGAGCTACATATGGCTTCGAAATTCTTCACCAAGTCGTCCCAATGTGTGTCATGCTCCAATGTACCTACATGTGCAAAGAAAACAAGGTAATTCAATTACATTGAGTTTGTATGAGCTAATTACCTTGCTGTCGTGCATGATCATGGTCTTATAAGCTATGAATGCATGACATGAGCTAAATATATCATCATATAATATATATAAACTAATGTATAAGGTCTAAGAGCTAAAATGAACGCATATGAGCTAATCAAATGAATGATAAATATGCTGCCATTTCATTAATGTAATGAATCATGCTTAATATGAATGCAAGACTATTCTAACATGCTTAACATACTTAAATAACAATGCACATTAATTGTAAAGATGTTTGCATGCTAAGTTATCTGTTAACTACATAAATAATAATCTTAACATGATATGTATTATAATAGCATATATGATCAAATTAGTATAAAGTAAATATAACATAGAAATGTTCAAGAATACTCAGTATGAGAAAATGTGCTTGCATCAGGCTTACTTCTTTTCCCATGTATCTATTGTTACTTGAAGATTAAGTATCACGTTGAACGCTTTCTACAGAGATGTGTAAATGCTTCGATGATCGTAGTAGCAGATTACTCCAATGGATCTGAAGGATATACGTATAATTATTATGTTGGTTTCCTGGGAACTCTTTTCAGCTTGCCATAATTAGGCATGCTCAATTGATAACCTACTGGAATTCTAATTTGTGCATTGCAATGTTTAACAATGCAGGAAGATCTTAGTCCAGAACGAGTTGTTGTGATAGTTGAGAGGTTAAGAAAATGAGAGAAGCTACCGGTAAGCAACCGGGCCGAAAAATACTTTGTTTTACTCGCATTACCTTAGGGTGTTTTGAGCTCATCATATATATATATATATATATATGTAAATGTATGTATATATGTTGCATAATAATGCCAGTGCCACTAATGTACCAGTGCCAACTCTACAAGGATATGTTTTTTCTTTTGCACACAGGGCTAGATGAATACAAAACCTGTGGTATTCTTGATACCCACTAAAATAAATTAGGATGCAACAATTATGAGGAACACTGGGAAACAACAAATTTAGCCTTCAGATAACAATTTCAAATAAGATAGACTGACAGAGAACACTAGTAGACAGCATGCAACAGTAGAATGAAAAGCAAAATTGAAAACTGAAAGAGAAGAGATGTGAAAAGATATCATAACTTTTGTACATGCACATTCTATATTTCATCGAAATCTGTCGGACATTCAACATAAAATATGCATCAAATACTTCTATAAAATCTTCTAAACATATGAACTATCCATGTTACATAAATTTTCCCCCATATAATGTTTATAAGCTTACATTCTTTGTTTAGTTTACAAAACAAAAATAAGTAGAACATTAACCATCAAAAGCAACAACAATGTTCAGACTTACAAAAGATAATGGCCATGACATTCTAAACTTAAGCCTATACGTTGGTTATATTATATACACAAAAATTGTCCAAGTCAAGCTTTGGTAAAGCTAGACAAAAAAGTTGGGACTATATTCTAAAGTCAAAATCAAAAAGAGATCGACATATTTATAGAAGGACCAAAGTCAAAAGGATGGTCAAAAGTGATGGCATTCAAGTAATTGCTTAATCACATAATATTTTTTGAATTCTTTTGGCAAAGAAAAGAAAAATCTACCTTGTACGAATCTTTGCTAGCATACTCTCCTGCAGTAAGCATTTCATCATTGAAGAGGCCTTCAATTTTCATGATTTATATGAAAATCGACATTCTTCGATCATTTCCTTCTACCTCCTTTTTGAATAATGCAATAATATCCTTAATTTCTTAGGCAGTTTCTCAGTATGCAGCACCAAACTTACTTATCTCCTGTACAAGATCGGATAACCCATCATCACTTCGAGAACTTTTCTTGCTAGCTACTTTTTTCATTGCAGGGGTAGAGGCAGCAACATCAGATGTTTGGTAAGTTGAAGCACCAACATCCTCTCTTGATTCAGAATCTCTTACTCTCTCTTCTGCAACTAATGCATCTATAAATGCATTGTCTTCTACATCAAGATCTTCCACTGCATCAGTTGTTGTTCCTGTTGCTATTTCTTTTCCAAATATTTGAATAAAGTCGTCAAAAAATGGAAATGACTTGTTTCTCAATCTAGCAGCAGTTGGATGACTCTACAAGATAATAATAAAATCTTATATTTAATAAATTTATAATTATATATGTAGATAGCAAAGACCACAGAAAGAAGATAAATTCAATTAAAATAGTTACTCTTAACCCAATCATCAAACACATCCTTTGGTGCAGTTAAACTTTCATTCCAACCAAATCCACTTCTAATATTAAGCATTTCTGATAAAGCATTGTATTTTCTTTTCAGTAACTTCACTCTAGATTCAATATGTGTATGGGCCCTAATTTTTGATGTCGGAAGCTTGATTTCTAACATTTTTTCAAGATGAAATAGATAACCTGCTCTAAATGTTTCATTATCAGCTGTCCAATGTGAGTCTTCTGCCAAAATGTGTAAGCATTCAACAAATGCAGCATCCTCCTGTTTAATCCACGCCCTTTTAGTAAGTATAAACTTAACCTTTCCAGCTGTTCGTTTCCCCCTTTGAGATTCTATATTTGATGTTGACATATTACACTTCGAAACAATATAAGATGTATATAAAAAATGTATAACATAAAACAAGTCATCATTGCCAATAATAATCATAAATGAAATTTAAAATAGTAACATAAACTAAATTAAATGTAGTGAATGACATTCAAGTAATGAATGTCCATAACAAAGGCAATTTCAATTTTAAAGAAGAGAAATACAAAAAATTTAATAAAGTTAATGTCATAAAATATAAAGAAGTCAAATACATGAAATTAATGACCACTAACATTAGATAAAATACGAGTGACATTCCATACATAACATAAAATAAAATCTATCCTAAACTACGTGACGTCAACCAACTAGTAAACATATCTTGTGCTAATTTGTCTCTCCACTCACTCCAAGAAGTGCTTGGCTCACAATGTCTGATCATTTCTACCTCATTAAACTCTTCAACATGCCTACTATCTCCAGTATAGTCAGATTCAATAGGATCAATTGGCATATCAGATCTTATGAAATTATGGAGAAGACAATAAGTGAAAATAAGTCTACATTGTGTTTTCATTGGATAAAATGATTTTCCCTTAAAATTACCCATCTCGCTTTCAATATGCCAAAACATCTCTCAATGCAATTCCTAGCTTGAGAATATTTCATGTTGAAATATTCTTGAGGGGTGGTAGGTTGGTGTCATTCTCTCCAATCATTCAAGTGGTATCTTTGACCTCTATATGGTGCAAAAAATCCCTCTCCATTCGTGTATCCAGCATCACATAAGTAGTAACACCATATATTATTTTAATTTAAAAGTAAATTAATATACAAAACTTGTAAGAACTTTACATTCTTTTATATATATATATATATTAATGACCTAAGCATCTACCTTGTGGAACATTTAAACCATTTCTTCTACTAATGACATCTTTGAGTATTCTACCTTTAGTTACAAAACCTTCCCACCCAAGTAAAATATAAATGCATTGCATGTTTGGTGTGCAAACACCAAGTACATTTTTCACAATTTCATTTTTCTTGTTATGTACCTAGGTTTATCGATTGAAGCAACATTGACCTTAATATACGTTCCACCTAAAGCACCTAAACATCCCTATATTCTTAAAATAAATTTACATTACATTATTAGTATCCATTTATGTTTTAAATTTTATGTTATGGTTGCGAGAGAATAGAGAAGCAGAGAGAAAACAACGTAGGAAGAAGAAGAAGAGAAAGAGATGAAGAAATTAAACTTTCATTCAAAATATGCCTACTGATCTCATTACCGGTACTGGTTTTATTTGTTTACAATAGTACTAGAGAATCTATCTTGGCCATGTGGTTGTCATTGCTAACTGAATCAGTTATCTTCATTAGGAGATGGGCTTCCAAGTTGGGCTAGCAGCATGGTTTGAAATTAAAATCTTCTCGTGCCTCTCATGTGCCAGGTAATTTTAATTCCCAATTTCCTTTCAATCTCTAACCCTTGCCTCTCTATTCTCAAATTCTTCTTCGATCCCTTGCCCTTCTCCTTCTACTGTGACAATACTTGCCCCTTGAGACGATCCTTGTCCCCAAGGATCAAATGTGGGAAATTGACCTATGAGAACAGAGAAATCTTCCTAGGTATCATTCGTTTCATCCATGTTAGTCCATCGAGCGAGCAATTGAGTTACTAGTTTGTTATGTCGATTAACAATTCTTTTGCCCAAAATCTTAGAAGGCTCGATTCTGAACTGACCGTCTGTATCCACTATAGGAGAATCTGTTGTGGATTTTGCCGATTCACCAATATGTTTCTTCAAGAGACTCACATGAAAAGCTGGGTGCATTCGTGATGTCGCTAATAAGTCTAGACGATATGCAACTTCTCTAATTCTTTCTGCAATCTTGTAAGAACCATAATACATGGCTGTTAATTTTAGATTTTTGCGCAAGGCGAGGGAAGTTTGTCGGTAAGGTTGCAATTTGAGGTAAGCTACATCCCCTACTTCAAAAACTCTCTATGATCTTTTCTTGTATGTTTGTTGTTTCATGCGATTGCTAGCATTTTCTAACTGTTGTTTAACTAGTCTAATTTTTTCTCTGCTGCGCATCAACTCACTTATAGTTTGTACTTGTGATTCTGTGTTCCATACCATTGTAGGAGGTTTGTAGCCATATAGAACCTGAAAAGGTGTGAGTTTTAGGGAGGTGTGGTAGGTGGTATTATACCACCACTCAACATGAGGCAACCATTTTACCCACTATTTTGGTTAAAAAACATGGGCCTCTTAGATACTGTTCGAGACACTGATTGACCCTCTCTGTTTGTACATCTGTTTTTTGATGGTAGGCAGTACTAAATAGGGTTTTAGTTCCCAATTGTTTCATTAGCTTATAGACATTATCCAAATATAGCTTATCTACATCAACTGCAGAATAAGGGTTAGACAGTGCCAGAAAATGGTTGTATTTAGTAAACTTGTCTACCACCACCAGAATACAATTTTTTCTTAATGATGTAGGTATACCCTCTATAAAGTCCATTGTAATTATCTCCCAAGCTTGTTAAGGAATAGGAAGGGGCTATAACAGGCTTGGTTTTGCTATATGATCCACTTTAGTTTGTTAACAAACTTCACAGGATCTTACATAAGTTGCCACAATAGCCTTAAGTCTAGGCCAATAGAAATAATATCTAATCCTGTGATAAGTGGTATGGGTTCCTAAATGACCTCCATGAGGTGAATCATGCAAAGTTTGAAGAATATGTAGTTTAAGAGACCCAACAATACCAATATAAACCCTGTCTTTAAATCTAAGGATACACTTTCAATATTTCCATCTAGGGTCAACATTGGAATTAACAATCAAGATTGAAATCCATTCAATAGCCAGTGTATCCTCCTTATAAATGTCCTCTACTTCCTGAACCCAGCTAGGTATTAATAAAGTAGTTCTCATAGCAAGACACTGATCTTGATCTTCTCACTACCTAGATAAAGCATCTGTTACTACATTTGATTTGTATTTTCTGTATTGAGTAGTGTAGTCTAGCCCCAATAGTTTAGTCAATCCTTTCTTTTGAATGTGGTAGTTAATTTTTGCTTTAAGAGATACTTCAAGGGTTCATAGTCTGTCTTAATGAAAAAAAATTACTCCCCAAATAATGTTTCCACTTAGAGACTGCTAATAAAATAGCAAAATACTCTCTTTCATATACAGAAAGGGCAAAATGTCTAGGACTTAGAGCTTTACTAAAATAGGCTATAGGTCTGCCCTATTGAGAAATTACAGCACCTATACCTCCAGAACTGGCATCTGTTTCCGAATAAAAATTCTTACCAAAATCTGGTAGAGCTAAAACAGGGGCATCACACATAGTTTGTTTTAGATCTTCAAAAGCATTCAAGGCTTCAGGGTTCCATTTAAAACTGTCTTTTTTAAGCATTTATGTCAAATGTTTGCTAATAGTTCCATAATATTTTATAAATCTTCTGTAGTAGCGTGTTAAACCTAAAAACCCACACAGAGATTTTAAGGATTTAGGTACAGGCCAATTCCTCATTGCTTTCATCTTGTTAGGATAAGTAGCTACTCCTGCAACTGAAATAATATATCCCAAATACTCAACTTGAGTCTGTCCAAAGAAACATTTGAACAACTTGGCAAATAATTGGTTAGCTTGCCAAACTTCCAAAACCAATTGCAGATGAGTAAACCTATTTGATTACCAGGTTTAAAACTAGTCATATGAGCATGTAAATAATCCGGTTTAGACTTTAGAACCCAGTTTCATCAGGTTTATAAGTAAACTTGGACTTATCATTAATCACAATGACCTTTAAAGGTTTCTTTCCATTCGTTTTAGAAGTATTAGGAGTCTGTACCTGGTCATTAACAGACTGGTCATGATTGCCATTTCTGTCAGTCAGAATCTTCAAGAGTTCCTCCACATAACCCTGATTTATGGCCAATCTGGATTCCAATAAAGTAATATGATTTTCCTGGTTTTTCCACTATTTAGGAGGTTTAGTTTCATCTTGAGATTGCTTGACCAAGGTCATTAAATCCTCAAGTTGTTTTTGTAGTGCAACAAAGTCAGGTGTTTCAGACATGGTTTGATTTTTCTTTGGCATGCCCAACATTGATTGCTAGGAAAAAATGGCTATGGATACCAATTGTTATGGTTGTGATAGAATAGAGAAGCAGAGAGAAAAGAACATAGGAAGAAGAAGGGAAAGAGATGAAGAAATCAAATTTTCATTCAAAATATGCCTACTAATCTCATTATAGGTACTGGTTTTATTTGTTTACAATAGTACTAGAGAATCTATCTTAGCTAGGTGGTTGTTCTTGTTAACTGAATCGGTTATCTTCAGTAGGAGATGGGCTTCCAAGTTAGGCTAGCGGCATGGCTTCTGAAATTAAAATCTTCTCGTGCCTCTCACGTGCCAGGTAATTTTAATTCCCAATTTCCTCTTTCAATCCCTAACCCTTACCTCTCTATCCCCAATTCTTCTTCGATCCCTTGTCCTTCTCCTCCTACTATGACATTTTACTAATTAACTTATAAATAATTTAAGAATTATGATACAATAACTTAAACCATTTCCATCTATTATCTGTTGAATTCTCTTGTATCGGTTCTGGTTTTCTAAAAAGAATCAGATGTAATTTCAAAACTGAAGCTAAAACTGTATGAAGAACTCTACTAATTGTTTCACCAAATCTGACTGTTTGACGTTTTAGAACTCTATTCTTAATATGATGGGATATAGTATGAAGGAAAGTAACAACCATTTCTTCTATAGACATATATAGACTCTCTTTTAACCCACCTTGACTTTGTAATAGATGACACAATTTGAGAAATGCTTTCCTATCCATTCGACAATTATCAACACTTTGTCTATCACTTTCAAATACAATTTTATGTAAATTAAGTGATCTAATATTATGTTTATGAAGTCTTTCATGTGCATAACTTATTTTAGGTCTATTTTTATATTTTCTAAGAATAAGTGAAATAACCATAAGCATATGAAACACAATCTCCATCATTTGCAGTTGTAAAATAAGAATTGTGGTGATATGCGTCTTCTTTCGCATTGGTAAACGAGCCATAACTGTTTTTATGAACAAACATTTTAATATTAGAAAATAATAATATTGAACAAGAACAATTGTTTGTCATAACAATAAAAATAAATAAAAACTAATTTAACAATTCTGAAGTAATTAAAAAGAGAAATCAAGATTTTAACATAAGCTAAGAAAATTAAAGAAAATCTAAGAGCAACTAATGGTAGACTTATGAAGTAGATTGGTGTATTTGAAATATAAAAGTGTCACTAAACTTTGACAATTTTAACTATTTCTTCAACATCCTTAGGCTAGAGATTTGTAAACCACCTTGCTAATGGTATTCTTACAGTTGGAAATTAGTCTAATACCAGATAGCATAATTGATTTCCATCTTTCATTTACTTTAACAAAGTCATTAGCGGAGCAGTAAAAAATTTATGTTATTATCAAGTATTCAATTGATATCTAATCTCATGTTCCAACAATATAATGTTCTGCTCTACCATACTTTAGGAGTAAAAAAATATGAAAACTAAGTATTATTATTTGAAAATTAGATCATAAGGCATCCAGTCATTTTTTAACCTACTTTATGAGTAAAGGCGAATTGATAAAAATATAATAAATGTTCTGCTCTACCCTACTTTAGAAGTCCATGTCAAAAGGGAAAGTATAGGGTCTAGCAAATCCACCCAAAACATTACTCTTTAGATTCTCTTACATCTGTGTTAGATGGTAGAATACTCCACATTAATGATATTGGTGTGATCCTTCTTTTAACTTTCACATTTTAATTTCATAATATTTCAAATTAAGGCATAGTATTAAATAGTAATCATGTATAAGCTCTCTGAAGTATGCTAACTCTCCACTCTATTATGCTTTCCTCACCTTTCCACTGGTCTGTTAAACTCTTTTACCTTCAAAACTCAAACGCAACGCTGGATTGCCTACTTGTGCGCACTAAGACTGGAATACTACCAAATTACTTCTGTTTTAGACCTTGACACTGTTCTGCCATCATTTAAGCTTATAACTTCAAGACAGATTTTGGCCAAATTAAGGATAAAGCTCAAGACCACTAATTAAATTTGTCATTTTCAGTGCTGGAAAGTTTATTTATCAGAAAAGGAAAACCTTTGCAGTTTTAAGGACATTATTTGCAATTATTTGATTTTACTTTTTATTCATATATTAAGATTTCTTACACTATTACCAATCTATCCAGCCTCTTAGAAATGTAAATTCCTGAGCACAACTAGAGGGAGCTATTATCACCATCATGCTTTTCAGCATTTATGATGAAAATAAGTTGATTCACTATCTCAATAAAGCAGGCACTTGTAATTTCTTTTACATTTAATAGAGCAGAATCACACATGCAGTTTTAGCCAACATAAACTAGAATAGGCAGCATCAGAGAAATCTGTTTGGATTTGAAAGAGACCTTAAGAAATTTCATTAAAACTTAAAATAGATGCTGACTGCAAATATATAAAAATTTAGACTTAGACATTATAAAAACATTATAAATTTAGAAGTAACCAAAACAATCACTATGCCAACTGCATATAGCTTTCTAAATGAACTACGTTCTCAGTATTTATGATTTTTTTATCTTTTTCGTTTCTGAAAAATTAAATTAAATTCAAGTATCAGCAGATCTACTGATATATTGAGCACAATTTTATGCAATAAAGGGAGTGTTTTTGTATTTATAACTCACCTGACTTGCTGCTAGTGTTTTCAATGTTTCCAAGAACAGAAGCTACAGAATCAAAAGATTTTCTTTGACAGAAACGAAAGCACAAAAGCAGGAACCTAAGAATCAAAAACAAAAGCAATCAAACGCAGCATTAAAAGGTTTTCTTTAACAGAAACAAAAGCAAAAAATATGGAAACTAAGAATAAAAAACAAAAGCAGGAAACTAAGAATAAAAAACAAAAACAATTAAAAGCACCATTAACAGAAGAATCAAAAGATTTTCTGACATAAACAAAAGCAAAAAGATATGAAAAATAAGTAACATTACTGGGAAATAAAAGAAAGAGAGTGGAGGAGAAATCTTACCAGGAGGAAATGATTGGAAAAAAACTGAACTTTTTTTTCCTGGACGGGAAGAAGAAGATAAGGAACAAACGCAAACACACGCGGAGAAGCTAGGTCACGGGGAAATAAAAGCAAGGGAGCGGAGGAGAAATGGTATTTTAGCCCAAACGTACGAGAATAAATAAATAACTATGTAATATGTACCAATGACATTCCCACAAATGAACCCTTATGGGTGTTTGGTTCAAGGTTGTGGGATTTTTATGGGATGATCGGGAATTTCATTCTCGATAATGTTTTATTATCAATAGTAGATTTTTTGGGTATATTATCGGGAATATTATCACCTCCCTTTCCTTAGGTATTGTAACATTACTGACGTTTTGGTCTAAAATGCCCTTAAATTTTTATTTTTTTTCAAAAATATCTTTATTTTGTCATTGAATAATAAAAATTCTACGAATGTTAAATTATAAATTTATCCTTAAATTATTTTAGATTTACAAAAAAAATCTATAATTAAAATTTTATATGAAGTTCGGATTAAAAAAATTTACCCTTTCATTAAACATTTTTTATATTTTTAATTTTGTAAAAAAATTATATAAATATTATGAATTTAATTTTTTAAAGAAGATATATAAATATTTTACAATTTGTAATATTATACAAATATATAATAAGGATAATTTGGTCAAATATACATTCCAATAATCTTTTATTCCTTTAACCAAACACGATAATCTTACATTCCTGCTAAACCAACCAAACACAAAATACAACATTTCCAGTAATCCTATCACTGATAATCTTTTATTCCCACTGGTAATTTTACATTCCGTGAACAAAACACACCCTTAAAATATTACGGTTGGTAATGAGCTATTACCCTCAATTGAGAATCTTTCCCATCTAAACGTGGGTATTACAATTTGGAAAAAAAATTCTCCCAGACAAAAAAATAAAATTAGGAAGGTCCAAATCAAAATAAATAACGGTAAAATCGAGTAAAATGACCAAAATGAGTTTCTAAGCAAATTTATAGGTATGGATAAAAGAATTAGACCATACCCATTAGCAAAACACGCAGATCCTAGGGTCTCCAAATGGGTCCTCGGGTCGAGTATAAAGCTCAACATGCATAAACAAATTTCATTTTCTTCTTTCCCTCAAAAAAATGATCAAAAGCCTTTTATTTTTTTTCTCTGAAATGTTCTTCAACATATGAAGAACATTCAACCGGAGTTCATGGGGAAACCCAGATTCCGACCGTGCTCCGCCTCGCCGGCCACCGTTCATCGATGGTGAACTAGGGCGTTTTTTACGCCTTTGGAAAGTTCTCATCCTCCTCTTTCCAAATCCCACCACCATTTTCAATGAAAAGCCTCGAGGAGAGCAAGATCTAAAAAGATCTTTCGCAAACCCCCTTCTGATCATCGACTCTTCTCCAACAGTGGGTTTTTCAAATCAAAAAAAAGAAAGGAAAAAAATAAAATAAATACCCAAACATGCAACCATGCAAGCCGAATCGAGAAAGGTAAAAAAAATACCTAGTATATTGACGTTTGTTTTTAGATTAAAAGTGTGGTTTGCTTCCAATCTAACCTATTTTTGTTTTAACTTCACTTGGATTTATAAACTTAGGAATCCCATTGTTTCGGTTCGTTTTAGAGTCCTATCTAGACTGAAATGTTATTTTTTCTGTTTTTGGCTTGACTTTCTCGAAATATCTAGAAGAGATTATCCACGATGATGCCGAGAATTCTGGGAAGTGGATGGTTGCTTATTGTTGCTAGAACGAGGACTCTCCAAGAGCCCTAAAGTGCTTTCAATCTGACCGTCAGATTTCAATCTGATCCGATGGACAAGAACGTGCGGTGAAAGATGAAACCCTATGTCTGGTAGGGTCTTGCAACGTGGGCCTCCCATACGTTGGACTTAACTGTTGGGCATAGTAGGGCTTGGTTGGATTGTACCTAATCATTAAAAAAAAGAATTATAAATATAGGTTTAATAATATGTAATATATATATATATATATATATATATATAATGATATAATATACATACTATAAATATAAATAATATATGTACCATATAATATGTAATAACATATTTTTTTCAATTTATAGTGATAGTTTAGTATAAGTTAAATATATAGTGTGATATTTAGGATTAATGGTCTGCCTTAGCTTAGATGGTTGGTTCAAGTTTTTTTTAAGCTCTCTTTTGGGAGTTTAATATTAGTTTTATTTTTAGTTGAATAAAATTAATTAAATAATAATTTAAAAAAAGCTACATCAGCTTTGCCATTAAGTTTGTAACGGCGGAGTATTAAAATAAAACAAAAATTGAACATTAAAAGTTAAGGTTTTGAAAAAAATTAAAAGTTTAAATACTAAAATAGATCAAAACTGATAGTTTAATTATTAAATGCGTAGTTTACCCCAAATTAACTAATAGATGCAAATGAAAGTGTAAACTTTCTCTCGCCTCAACTTCTAAGAACAGTTCTATCAGATACTCATTTTCAAATGGGGACGGATTAATGTTTGATTCTATATTAGGGACTAATTTTTAAAATTTTAAAAAGATATAAATCTTATAAAATTTTAGGGAATAAAAACAAATTTTTAATAAAAAAACATAAAAAATTAATTTTTTTACTTATTTTCATAAATGATTGTAAATTAGAAGTTTATATTTAAATTTTAATAATTAAATAAATATAAATAATTTTAAATTGTATTTTTAAATTTTTAAATTTAAATTTTAAATAATTAAATACATATAAGCTTAAACTATTTACGATATAATACATATAATTTTTAAAAATAAATTAATATTGACTTTATAAAATATATAAATAATTATTTTTTATTTTAAATTAAAATAATAAATTATTTAATTTTAATTTAAAAATTTTATAAGTTAAATAATAATTTCTTTTGCATTAAAACAATTCTTAATATGATCTATTGATTAAATGAGTGAAATGTGTATGAAAAGACATTTTCCATGTAATATAAGAGGGCATCTGCTTACCTGATTCTAATGAAGAGATCCCTACAACGTTGTAACTTAGATGTAGGGAATGACGTAAGATTTAATACTCGGAGGAGGAAACTTTAGGGGCGAATTTATAAAATTTTAAGTAGAGGGAATTTATAAAATTTTATAAGGGCGAAAATATATTTTTAATAAAAAATATCTAAAATATATAAAACTTTTAATGGAACGACCGCCCTACCCTTCCCTTCTAGGTCCATCCCTGCTTAGAGGTGATCATGTTCATCATCATCTAATTCTAAAAACAAGATCTCATACATAATCCATTTACCTTTTTTCTTTCTTGATGTACATCCAATCCTCGTCATGACACGCAATTGAATATAATTGTGATATAATCAGATCCGTCCATAAGCAGGTGTAAAATGTGATTCGTCATATGGTCTCAAAATTTGAAGGCCTCGCATTTTAAAAAGTATCTTGATTTTTCTTCTAAGAGGTTCGAATGATGATATTTTTAAATAAAATATCATGATTATAAAGTTGTTTTGTAATGTTTTCTTATTTTCATATTTTTGGATTTTTTATATATTAAAAAATAATTATAATATGATAAATTTTTATATTTTACAAATTCGTCTAATTATAAAATATTTTAAAGACCTCATTTGAAATGTAGCAAAGAACCCGGATATAATCCTCTTACTATACGGAAAAGAGAAAAAAGAAAGAAAGAAAAAAATACTTGTAAATAGTCTGTTCATAATTTGCAGTACGTTACCTAGTTAAGCACGTCGACACTTCTATTCTGACCGGTGGAAAGGTCCTGCTCTTTGCAATTCAAAACCATGCATTGCCTCTTATACCTTGAACTATCCTTTACAGCAATGTCCTCGTACATCTGCAAACATTACGTTGAAGTTGATGAATTTAATGGCAACGTTATAACTAGTGTCTAAAATGGAACACACAACATAAACTATTCCATTTGGAACTTGGGAAAACAAAATGATTCATGACAGATTGAGAGATGTAAAGGTATAGCATTAGTAGAGAGATGTGGCAAAAGCAGAACCTTCTTTTGTTTACGGGGAAGTTTGCACAACATTTGGCTTAGTCTTTTGCTTGCTTCACCAAAGGAAGAAGATGAAGATTTAACCGAACCACATCTGACCATTACAAAGAAAACATAGGAATTGCATGGCTTGACAGGATGACATCGTCTTTGAAGCAATCTGTCGAACAGATTGTCTCCCCTTTCCCTCTTTTTCCTCTTCGAAACAGATTGTCTTCCCTTCCCCTCTTTTTCCTCTTCCGTTTCATCTTCTTACAAGACCTTGAATCCCTGCATTCCTCCGTAGAAATCCGAGGAAAACAGTAATTCACCTGATATATAGCCCCACTCTTGAGCCTCGTCAATATAATCTCTCTCTTAGGTGGCGTTTGGTTGGATGGAATCCATTGGAATTGGGGGAATTGAAATCCAATTCCACTACTTTTTCATGTTTGATTCAAGTTTTCAAAGAGAATTGGAATATCTCATTGCTTTAACTTTCCATCAAATGAGGGAAAGTGAATTCCATCTAAGAATGGAGGGAAATGAGGGAAAGTGAATTCCATCTAAGAATTGATGGAATTCAATTCCCTTGTTGGAGGGAATTGAAATTTGATCATACTACCCTCATCAATCTTTTGGTAACTTATTCATATATTGAATAAAAATATTTTTTTATTATTTTGGTCGGGTTGGGTCGGTTTTTTTAAGTGTGATATTCGGGTCAGGTCGAGTTCGGGTTTAGGGTGAAAAATACCCGACCCCAAAATATATATAATTTTACCTTATATATTTAGGAATAATTACAATAATACCCCTATATATATATATATTTTCAATTAAGTCATTGTTTTTATTAAATAAAAATAATTTTTTATTATTTCGGGTCGGATCGAATTTCTAATTCATATATTCGGGTCGGGTCGGGTGAAACTTTATTTTGTTCGGGTCGGGTCGGGTCGGGTTTTTTAAGTGTAATATTCGGGTCGGGTTTTTTTAAGTGTGATATTCGGGTCGGGGTCGGGTTCGTGTTTAGGGTGAAAAAAATCGGACCGACCCGAAACAAATATATAATT